AACTTCATTTCAGAGCAGCTGAACATTGATATAAATGCTCCACTATGCAAAATTTCTCTCTGTAGTAGCACTGTGGTCTTGAATCACAAGAAACCACCACTTAGATCTGTGGGACTTGTCTCTGAATGCTGATTTTAAAAATAAGCTATTTAGAATATGCTATTTAAAAATAATCTAAAGATTTTAGGCTAAACCTGAAATAATAATTAAAAAAAAATATATCTTTAAACAAAGAGAAGCTTAGTGAGATTCCCATGCAGATGTAGTCTTTGGATGAAAGGCTAAGCTACCAATCACACCTAAATCACATCTAAAACGTTTTCCCTGCTGAAACGAACGATTTTGGTAATTTTAATGACCGACCCCTATTCTGAACGCAGCGTTAATTAAAGATATGGTAGCACAGCACAGAGAAACGCTCCTCCCAGTTACAGAGCCACAAAATCCTCTGGAGAGGGAACCAGGTCGTTAGAGGGAGCGGGACGGAACCAGGTCGTTAGAGAGAGCGGGACGTGGCTTTTATAGACAGTTGGGGGTCTGGTGCTTTTTCAAGAGCTCCTTGACCAGCGTCTCCAGGGAGAAGAGGTGCTCGTCCACGTCCTCGGGGACGAGGCTGCGGATGGAGTTGGCGAGCTCGAAGAGGTACTCGGTGTTGCGGCCGCTGGGCCCGGCGGCGCCCAGGATCTGCCGCGCGATGTCCTCCAGCGGGGCGGGGCCCAGGTAGTTGGGGTTGTCGCGGGTGCCGATGTAGAGCTGCACCTCGAAGGGCTGCACCGACGGGTCCTTGGGGTAGAAGGTGACGCTGGTGGTCCTGTAGCCCCCCTTCTCCCTGAAGTCCAGGTGCGCCATCACCTCGCCCTCCTGCCCCGCCGGCAGCCGGTAGGCGACGCCCCACACGCAGCCCTGGCCGAAGGAGACCCAAACGGTGCTCAGTGTTTAGGCAGAACTCTCTCAAAGCAACTCATTTTCTGTGCTTTTGCAGTCTTGTGGCTGTTTCTTTGGAAGGGCTGCTTTATTTAGGCAGTTCATAGAATCAGAGAATCTCAGGAAAAGACCTCCAAGATCATAAAGTCCAGCCCTTGATCCAACCCCTCCGTGGTTCCCAGCCCATGGCACTGATGCCACATCCAGTCTGTCCTTAAACACCTCCAGCGATGGTGAATCCACCCCCTGCCTGTGCAGCCCATTCCAATGTCTGATCACTCTCTCTGGAAAGAATTCCTTCCTAATATCCAACCTAAACCTTCCCTGGCACAGCTTGAGACCGAACCCTCTTGTCCTACTGCTGGTTCCTTGTTCAACTGCAGGAGGTGATGCTGAAATTACAGCAGACTTGTCACATCACTTGATGTTTACATCAAATGATGTATGTTTACATCAAATTCTGCATCTTACAACTGGGTGGCCAAAGTGACTACTCCAGAAAATACTTTAAAATGTCCCTTTGGTAATAACAGACCCAAAGTACAACCAAGTTCTGAGTTTAGATTGATTATTTGAAACAATCAAGAGCCATTGGTGTAACTCCCAAGAAACACTAAGAGAACTTTTCCCTAAAGATAGTACAATTATTTGCTTGTAAAGAAGCAAAAATTAAGAGAGACTGGGAATACAACAGGACATTCTGGACACAGAGACAGACAGGAGTTCTGTACCTCAGCATCTTCAACCAGGGTCACAACTCTTCCAGGCTGAAATGTAAAAGAAGAAACCATAACTCAGTTAGAGGCTTTTACCCTGAATCATGAGCAAAACTAAAACACAGCGAGAAAAAAGCAATGAAGGGGAATGAAAGGCTCAGAGAAGTCATCCTGGACAATCCCAATAAGGTCTAGATCCAGTATAAATTTTCTTTATTATAGCTTTTGGTCTGTATTAGACTAACTTTGATAAATTGAATGTTAAATTCTGAGTGGACGGTGGCTGCAACACAGAAATTAAATGAAGGGCAGGTCAGAAATGGGGAGGGTTTCAATGTCCTTGCTTCATATGTGCTGTCCAGACTCAGTTCTATTCCAGTTTAAAACAGTGATTATTTATTAACAGTACAGTAACAGTGATAATTAACAGTTTCATTAATGTAAAACTGTCCTCGAGGAGCCCTTGGGGCCTCACTGGACAGAGGGAGAATACCTTGCAAATGGCTTCTTTTCCCCAAGAAGTTACTTCTTGTAGGAAGAGTAAGAAGCCAGTGTGTAAATACTGGGAATACAATAGTTGAAATTCCTTTTATAAAATTTTAGAACATAAACTCCTATGCTGAACTACATCTGCAGTTTAAAATCACTAATTTTGGCATCAAATGAGTTCTCCCCCAGCATGAGCCCTCTGGTCCTGATCTGACTGATAAAATAAGGCAACAAAACTACATGAACACCAAATGATTCCTATTTCCTGAGGAGAAATAGGTCTGTTCCCATGATTCATCCGAGATAACTTAGGTGTTCCTTTTGGAAAGTGTTTTCCGTAGCTATTAATACTTCCATAACTTGTGCCCTCAATACTGGTCAAGAAGATTTTTGTAAATTATGGATTGAAGAGACATGCTGGGGTGGAAAACAACTTTATCCTTACATAACTGCAGCCTAACTGCATTAAACTGCATCTAAATTAATTTGATTTAATACGAAGGGAGGTACTTAGAGGTTCTTGGTGTTCAGGTGGGTTGTGTGGTGGGAGAAGGATCTGTTTGCCTAGGGAAGGGCAGGGTATTTAGTGTATTGGTTCACAGAGTCCTTGGCTCACCTGGAACTACCCAAAACAAACAGTAAGGAACAAATAACTAGATACTTATTGATAGAGGGATTAATTACTGCTTGCACTACTGGGAGTAATTCTCTGACAATCTTTTTTACGTACAACTAAGGTGTGAGTTGCTGTATACTTTAAAGAACTGTTATTTCCTTGTTTTATTGCTGTTTTTTAACATGTATCAGGACTGAAGGAGCAGTGGTGGCTCAAGCCGTGTTATCTCTAAGCTCTGTGCGAGGTGTTTTATCGGGTTATTTACACCTAGATGAAACTTCCTTCCACGCCACACGCAGCGAGCTGTTATTTTAAAATAATCCTTAAGGCCACACACAGCAAGCTGTTATTTTAAAATAATCCTTAAGCTTTTTTTTTTCTGCAGGAGGAGCTCTTTTAAAGCCTTATTCCAGGTTTACGGTGTAGTTACTGGGTGCAGGTTACACTTTATCCTCACTCCCATTATGTCTGCGTGACATTGGGAATGCTCCCTTGGGAATTTCGGTTTCTTTTTCTTGCTGTTTTTTTTTTTTAATTTTATTTTCTCCTTTTCCAATCAGGTTTTAAATATTTCCTTATCCATGAATTTTGATCTGAGAGCGGAATAAGTTGAAATACAAGCGAGGAGGTTATTTGCCTTTTCCCACTCCCTGTGCACAGCCCGGCACCCGCCCCCGAGGGGTTTGCCCTCACCGAGGGGTTTCCCCCTCAGTTATCTGACAACCTCCAGAACAGATCTGGCCGTTCCCGAGCCCCTCTTTGCAGTCCCTTACGCTGTTTGTTGTGGGTTTTTTTGCAGTTGTCGGCGGTGCCCGTCCGGCGGCGGGCGGGGCCTGTGCCCGGCCCGGCGCTGAGGGGCCGCGCTCCCCCCGGGCCCCGGCAGCGGCTCACCTTGCCCGGCACCCCGCGGTGGTCGGTGCTGCCCTGCCAGAAGCGGCGGCTGAAGCCCCGGACGCGCCCCACCAGCTTCTCCTGGTAGGGGAAATCCACCTTCCAGATGAGGGAGCCGTAGCCGAACACCCACATGGCGGCCCGGCCCGGCGGGGCCTGCGCGCAGCCGCGGGGCGGCTCCGGGCGGGGGCACCGGCACCGCCGCCCGCCCGCTGCCCTCAGGGCCGCGCGGGGGGACGGGGCCGGGCCTGGCGCGGTCCCTGCCCGCCGGGGAGCCGCTTAGCCCCCTAAAAACCCGCCCGCAAATCCCCCAGATAACCACCTCCGCCCAGCAGCCACCCAAACCCCGCAACCACCTCCCACAAACCCACCGAACTACCTCCCCACAACCCCACTGACAATCCCCCTCAAACCCACCAAACCACCGTCCCCCAACCCCACAAACAACCTTGCCCCCCAAACCCCGCAGCCACCTCCCACAAACCCCACAACCACCCCCCCCAAGCCCACCACACTACCTCCCCACAACCCCACTGACAATCCCACTCAAACCCCTCAATCATCTCCCAACCAACCATCTCTCCCCCCCCAACCCCACAAACAACCTCGCCCCCAAACCCCACAACCACCTCCCACAAACCCCACAACCACCGCCCCCCAAACCCACCAAAATTTTTCCCCACAACCCCATTGACAATCCCCCTCAAAACCACCAAGTAACCATCTCCCAACCAACCATCTCCCCCACAACCCCACAACCAACCTTCTGCCAATCCCCACGACCAACCACCTTCTAAACAACCATCTCCCCCAACCCTACAATCTTCCCACAAACAACCACCTCCCAACCCCACAACCAACCACCCTCCAAACCCCACAAACCCGAACCGAATCCTCTGCAAAACAAACAAAAACCTCTCTTTTACATAGATCGTACCAACGTGCATCTCTTTTTTTTCCCCTCCTCTCTTCCTCCTGCAGGGTTCGATCCCAAGGATGGATTTCACGGAGGCCTATTCCGACCGGTGCTCGGCCGTGGGCCTGGCAGCCAGGGAAGGGAACGTTGAAATCCTGAGGAAATTAATTGCTCAGGGATACAGCATCGATGTCCCGGATAACAGGAGGTGGGTGCCCATCCACGAAGCGGCAGCACACAATTCCAGTGAGTGCCTGAGGCTGCTCATTCGTGCAGGTAAAGAGAACATAGTAAATAGTGTGGTTTTCTGCTCAATTACCCTGTCGTAGAAAATAGAAATGATGTGGATTTATCGTGTTCTTGCTTGTTTGGGGAGTTTCTGCGTGGTTTCGCAGCTGTGGTCAGGAGAAATTGGCAGGTTGTGGTTCACCAGTGACATTTGAAAGAGGCGCATTTCTGGGCCACACGTCTCAAATAACTCCCTTGTTCTCTCGAAATAACCGTATTTTGTACTTCACTGCTGAATATCCCGTTTTCCCCCCTCCTCATCCCTCCCTGCAGCCCCATCTGACGACTACATCCACTCGAGGACGTTTGAAGGGCTGTGTGCTCTGCACCTCTCGGCGCGTCACGGGGCCTTGGAATGTCTCCGTGTCCTCCTGGAAGCCGGGGCCGACCTCAACGATGTCACCACTGATGCCACCACCCCGCTCTTCCTAGGTCAGCTTTCCTGAAATCCCCAAAACAACCGAATTTAAATCCAGTTTCTGTTCCGTGTCCCATATATTTTTGTAGCCTAAATACCAGGCTTTAGACTCAGAGGTGGAGTGGCTCTGGAAATCCCCCTTTATATTTATGGATAAATCTGTTTCAGGCAGTGTTTTAAAACAAAACTGTCAAACCAAATTGGTTTGCTGCGTCACCTTTTCTTTGTTCCTAGCACAGGTACAGGATTCCCTATGGATGAGGCTGTTCCAAGTATTTTTGGTTTTATTTTAATTCCTCCCTACTTCTTACATGAAAAGACTAATTTTTGACATTCCTAGTTTAGTAATCAAGGTCCATCATTTTAGCATTTCTTCTCTGATTTATGTTTGACATAATTAAATGCTTTAAACGGTGAATCCTCAGGGTCTAACTCATCTGATTAAATGTGTTTATTGTTTTACCTCCATACCCAGGCAAACATCACAGGTCCTGTGTTACCTTTGTTTCCAAGTCTATTCCAAGATAGAGGGAATTTGGGCATCCCTGCAGTTCATTGTCTTCTGTGGAACTGTCTCCATGTTCCATGGGAAAGAGGGAGGAGAGAAACTTGCTTTTGTTATCCGTCTTAACACAGTGGAGGTGGAATTTCAACAAGTTTAACTGAAAACTTTGTGGCTAGTTCCCATTTTCCAACACGGTTTTGGGGTGCAAACACAAAAGACAGTAAAAACATATAAGGCAAATTGAAAAGAATTCTGATTATTGTGTCAGGAAGTTGGCAGTGAGACCTTTTGAGTTTTTCAGTGAGTTCTTAAATCCAAATATTTAAATTCTTTCTTTTGAAAGTTCTTTAATAATAATTATTTTTCCTTTCTTTTTTTTTTAATTACTGTTCTATTGAAGCTGTTGAAAATAAACACACAGAGGTCATAAAGTTTCTGCTCCAACACGGAGCAAATATTGAAGGTCCTCATTGTTGGTCTGGATGGAATTCTTTGCACCAAGCTTCTTTTCAGGTAACCTTTAAGCACTTCCTATAATTTCCATGTAACTGGTGTATTCTGAGTGATAATTTATTTGTTTAATTGCATTTTTATTGGATACATTTTCCTAACCAACCTAAGCAGTCATAAGGTTGTACTTACAAATATGTTGGCTTAATGGTGCTAATAAACTCATTTAATTACCATTTGTATTTATCACATAAATGAGCAAATGTGATAAATTAATTGAAACCTGTCTAATTTATTTGACCATTAATTATTCAATCCATCTTTAGAATATTGATATATTGTGTCTTATTTCAGTTTGGAATATGTGGGGGAAAACAGATTGTGTAATTTCCTTGCTTTTCCGTTGGTTGACAGCAAAAATACTTGTTTCAGGGTTCCACTGAGATAATGGAAATCCTGCTGGAGAAAGGGGCAAGCAAGAACTGCAGGGATGACTTTGGAATTACCCCCCTGTTTGTGGCTGCTCAGTATGGCCAGCTGGAGAGCTTGCGGCTGCTGGTGTCCCGTGGTAATAATGAGCCTTCATTTCCCTTTTTAAACCTTCATCACCTGTCACTAAACACAGTTTTAGTTCTGCTCTTGCATGTAATCTGAAATTTTAGGTTGGGTTTTTTCTTTCCTTATTGCCATGGAAAACTTGTTGAGTTTGGAGTCACTCCGGGGAAAAAGAATCACCGGTGACTGTGAATTTGGTTTTGTTTTGTGTCAGGTGCAGACCTCAACTGCCAGGCCAAGGACAGAGCCACCCCCCTGCTGATTGCTGCCCAGGAGGGACACTTGGAATGTGTGGAGCTGCTCTTGGCAGCAGGGGCAGACCCAAACCTCTACTGCAACGAGGACCAGTGGCAGTTACCGATTCACGCCGCGGCCGAAATGGGCCACGCAAAGTAGGTGGTGGGAAAGACATCCAGAAGATTCTGGTGACACAAATATAATCCTCAAAGAGGAAGTTTGGGGCCTAAAAGGAAGAAAAATGACTGTTCAAGCTGATTTGTGGTTTAGAAGTCTTAATTCTTTTCACATTTTAAATGTCTGTTAGTGGTCTCTTTCAGACTGACAGAGAGTAGGTTTAGATGGGATATTGGGAAAAAATCCTTCCCTGTGAGGGTGGGGAGGCCCTGGCACAGGTTGCCCAGAGAAGCTGTGGCTGCCCCATCCCTGGGAGTGTCCAAGGGCAGGTTGGAGGGGGCTTGGAGCAACCTGGGCTAGTGGAAAGTGTCCTTGCCCATGGCAGGAGGTGGAACTGGATCATCTTTAAGGTCCCTTCCAACCTCAACCATTCTTTGGTTCTATGATTTTTAATTCAGCATCTAACCTGGGTTTGATCCACATTCTAATGAGGTTAGAGGGTTTTCCACAGTGCTGAACCAGATACCAATTCACTTCATGGCCATATTATAAAATATAAATGACATGACTTTATACATGGCTTAAACAGCTGCTAATTAGAATTATATCCCTAACTAGTAAGTAGCAGAAGTAATTATGTGCAAATATTGAATTAGCTGAACCAGGCAGAAAAATCAAAGCCACAAAACAGTCCCTTTAACCCTTCCAGAAATGCATTTGTGGCTTTGGCCAGTTTGAGTGATACAAGTCAGTTCCACTGCAGGAAGCCAAGAGTGGAAGGAAGTTTCTGGAATAGCAGGACACTGGGGAGAAGGAGCTCTCAGGAACTCCATGAATTGCACATATATTAATGATGACACATAACTGGTCACCCCTAAGCAGCACCAGTAAGTTCCAGTAGCAAAGGAACTGGTGTTTGTCACTAATGTGATGTAGCCTGGAGCTGTGAGCTGTGAACAGAAGGATTTTTCTGCTCCACTAAATATCAATTTTATTTGCAACTCACATTTCCAGCTTGCTTCCAGACTTCAGAGAAGTCTGGATTTAATGTGCAGCTCTAAAAAGGATTGGGGGATAATAGGAAATAGCTGTCCCTGCTTTGGATTAAAACATTTATTTCCAGCCTAAATCCATGCCAAAGCACAGTGTTTGCCAAGGACCTGTGTATGGAGTTACAAAGGTTGTTCCATGCAAGCTCGGGAGTGAAAAATCAGGGTTTTCTTCCAAACCGTGTGAAAAATGGCTGTGTATTTAAAATGAATCACGGCACAAGATCAGAAACCAGTGGTTTGAAATCTTTGCAGGATCCTGGAGCTGCTGATCCCAGTTACTGACCGGATCTGTGACAGGGGCAAGGGCAAACTGAGCCCTGTGTATTCCGCCATATACGGAGGGGACGGGGCGTGTCTGGAGATGCTGCTCAAACAGGGCTTCAGCCCAGATGCTCAGGAGTGCCTTGACTTCGACTGCAGATCCCCCATGTGCATGATCTTCCAAAAAGAGTAAGGAAACCTCTTCTGTTTTGAAACTATTCATACTTAATCACCTTTTATTTAACTGACTTTACACGTGCGCTTTCCCTCCTTCCTCCCTCAGTTGTTGCCTGTCATTTAATATTTCTTCCAGAATTCAGTTTAGTTCCCCCTTTGCAGACACTCCTCCTTGGGAATCTTAATGCCAAGTCCTGCTGTGTGGCTCGTGTGCTGCATCAGGGAAAACATCTTCAATAAAGGCTTTAAAATCTTCTTTAAACCCAGATTCTGACAGAGCGTTTCATTTATGTGGATCAAAATTGATGGCTTAGGTGCTGCCTTTAAAATCATGAGGTTCATTAGTGGGGAATTTAGTCCATGGCATGCTCCTAGGAAGTTGTCTTTAAAAATCCTTGGATATTTTTTTTTCCCTTCTGTCCTGGTGTTGCTTAATAATAAATAATTTAGGAAGGGATGCAGAGCAGGTAATTACTTAAACGTCCTGTAAATGAGGCAGGTAACTATCACCACTTCCCTGAAGAAATGTGCCCTCTAATCATTAACTAAGCTAAAAAGCAGCACGCTAATTATCAGTCATAATCTCAGTCGTTATCACACCATTATCACGTCATCACCTTGTTGTGACGGATACCGACAGAAGGATTTTAGTGAAATGGTTTTATTTTTAAAACCAGAGCTCCCTGGATGCAAAAAGCGGGAGAGGCTTTCTGAGGGGAAAACTAACGGGATGCCCCTGTTCCTCCTCCCTATTCCCAGGTATTTTCACTTCATCGACGTCCTCCTGAAGTACGGGATCACCCTCCGGGCCGTCAACTTGGGCCACTGCCTGTGCCATAAGAAGTTCGCTTTGTTTCGGCGCTTCCTGAGGCTGGGCTGTTCCCTGCCCTCCGGGGAGGAATTACCGGATTTCATCCACTACAGCACCGCGGTGCACAAGGAATACAAGCAGTGGCTGCCCTCCCTGCTCCTGGCTGGCTTCGACCCCCTGAATTTCATGTGTGCCCTCTGGTGAGCAGAGCCCCTCTCCCCCCACACCGAGTACTAAATGCCACGGGCAAAGCTGGTTTCTAAGCTGGGCTTTCCCAGGATGGTCCTTGATAATCGGTTGCCACGCTCAGGAATGGGAGGGGCTGTGGAAAGTCTGAAATCAATCATTCACACGCCACATCTGGAGCCAGGACAAAAAATTCGGTGTAGGAAGAAAGCCAGACTGGAGGTTGCTTTGTCACTGCCCCAGAGAAAGGCATCACTGCCCAACTTCTATACAGAACATCTCTTAATAGCCCCCAAATGTAGCTCAGATTTTGCAGGTGTGTGTAAATACTGTGATACAGCAACGGTGAGAAGAATTTCCAATGGGAGAAATAGGTCAGGAGGGATGGGAAGCAAATGGGAAGTGAAGCCGGGCCAGGGCTGGGAGGAGAGGAAACGGATGCAGTTCAAGATTGTTAAACAAAACAATGTGGCAAAAGTTCCAGTCTGGGCTTTGTTGTTTTTTTTTTAATTTAAATTTTTCCACATACAAATAACGCCTTGGTGATGTTTTATATTTAATTGGGCACTACAGAATTCAACTTCTGTTTAAAGTTCTGAAATATTTGTATTTTCTGCTGGCTGCAGTAAACACCCTCCAGGGTTGCAACTCAGTGACTGAACAAATCTCACTGTCCTTGCATATCACACATGGTGCTTTTTGATATTTTATTTCCTAACCCACAAATACTTTTTATAGCAATTACTTCCTCTGTTTAAACACCCACTTTTTAATATAACACCTATCACACTGTCATCTAGAAAAATAACTTACTTTTGGAAAGAAACGGAGGGAAATAAAATTCCATTAGTAAAGACTTGTGCTGTAGAATTACTTGGGATTTCTCTGTAGTGGCTTAGGATGAAGGTTGTTAAGGATTTGTCAGAAAAGCTGTCTCTATGTTGTTCTCATTATTCTATTTATGCTGTTGTGTAAAATGGTATTTGAGGGGAGTTTTTGTCACGGCAGGATTTTCTCCGCGAGCGAAAACGTCCTTAACTTTGTCCTGGAGTTCCTGAACTGGAGCAGACTTCCTCGAGGTGTGGAGGAACACCTTTCCCAATACAAGGAGAAGTTCACCTGGACTCCCAAGAGCCACTTTGGTAAGCAGAAGAGGCAGGAGAAAAAAAGATATGACTTGGTTACGTTTCATTTTTTTAATTTGATTTGTATTTCCAGTGGAGTGTCTGTCCTGTTCTGTCCAAAGCTTTGGGCAGTAATTAAAATACAAACCGTACAAAAAATCAAATCTACTCAAAAATGTGGTCAGCTAAAATATTCAGTTGGTTGTCCAGGAATTGTTCAGAAAAGCAGCTTTAACACACAGGTGTGACCGAAAAATTGTGCTCAGGTGTCTGTTAGTGACTTCTTTCAAAGCAAATTCTTCTTTAAAAGATCTGTAATGATTTCTGAAATGTGTAGGTGATAATATTATTTAATAATCCTTCCTTTGGAATGTTTGAGGCCACAAGGATGTTTTTGGAGCTAAAAAAAAAACAGTTTATTTGGGGAAATTGAGATGAGGTTTCCTCTTCTTTTCCTTTGCTATTGGTAAATATATTTGTGTTGTAAGAGCATCCAGTAACTACAGAGGAAAAGGGAGCTGGGGGGGACCAGTGGGGGCAAAGGGAAGGGAACAGGAAGGGTTCAAGGACTGGCAAATCCCTTCACTCTGGAGAGCTCTGCTTGTGACCTGCCAGAGCCCGGGGGGGGATCCAGGAAATGGTGTCCCTGATTGACTCGGGGTTCAATTTTCCAGCCTTCATTCCGCCCCTGTCTCACCTGTGCCGGCTGGAGATCCGGTCCCTGCTGAGGAGCGAGCGGCTGCGCTCGGAACGCGCCATCCGGGAATTGCCGCTGCCGGTTTGCCTCCAGGAATACCTGCTCTACCTGGACGTGCTGCGGCTCAACGCTATCCCAGACCTGGAGGATCCCCCGGGGCAGGGAGAGCAGGCAGCTGAGGATGCAGGGAGGAGTGACACCAGTAGCACCAGTGCCTGAACTCTGCAGGTTTTGTAACGGGAATTAGGGGATGCGACTGTAAATACCTTGCTGTAAGAATTCTTTTCGAGCTGTAGTTTTATACTACGTCTATAACTTTGCTACCACTTCTATTGTTTAAGAAGCCTGTTGTAGCTTTCTAAGTGAACATTTTCTGTTTGTTTTTTTTTTTTTTTCTAACTCTGAGGGGGTAAAATGAGCTTGTTCAATGAACACAGCTTACAGAGTGGTCAAAATCTGTCAGTCGACACTTTATTCCAAATACAGCATTTACCAAATGGCACAATCTGACAGTCAGGGAACACAGTATTGCATCATTATTGCCAATTTGTGTGTTGGGGAGGAATGTAGCTGAACCAGAGAAAGGCAAATAACATAAGAAAGGAAATTGTTTGCTGAAGGAACAGTAGTTCTCTTTTTTTTCCCCTTCCCTTGGTCATCAATATTTGGCGGAATGTCGGAGCTGGAGGCTTGGAGTCCCTCCCCTTGCTCAGCCCGGGGCAAGGCAGGGAATGTCCCCACGGGCACCACTGTGTGCCAACAAAAATCCCTCCTCTGGTGAAGTGACAAAGGACCCTCCGTCCCCATGGCCGGGCAGGGACATCTCGGGGACATCTTGGGGAGCACCGCGGGGTCCCTCGCTGGGAAAGCCCTCATCCTGCGGAGGAGAAGCTGCTGGGAGCACTGGGATCACTGGTAGTAGATGCTGAAGGCATGGAGGATGTACAGGAAGGCCGTGAGGAAGGCGAAGAACTGCACGGGAGGAAGAAGAGCACAAGCTGGGGTGAGCCGGGAGAGTCCGACCCCACCTCCTCCCAGCGCCCTCAGGATGGGGAAGCCTCCCAACCTAGAGCTCTCCCCAAGCCTCAAAGAAGAGGCAAAGTTCCCAACTTTTCCCAGGAGCCAGCCCTGCAAGGTGGACCGTGGAAGCTCGTGCTGGCTGCGCAGCACAGCCGAGGTGAGGAGCTGAAGCTCCGCCCGGTGAGACGCTGCCGGGCTCGGGGTGGCTCTGCCACGGCTTTAATGTTTGCTGCTGCCTCTCCTGGGGGAAATTGTGGTTCTCCAGCCTGCCCAGGGTGCCCTGGGCCCTCTCACCGAGGCAGCACTGTTGAGATGGTAGTAGAGCGGCGAGTTGGGGCCGGACTCAGAGTTGATGGTGGCGTTGGCCTGCAGGACAGCGGCGCTCATGTAGAGGATGGCCGTGGCACCGTGGTACAAACTGTCCTGCAAAGCAAGGCTCGGGTGAGTGCTCCCTCTAGGGCCGGGGTGAACCCTCCCTGCCCACAGCCGCCGGCGTCCCGGCCCCTCCTTACCAGCACTTTCCAGTTCTCGCTGTTCCTGTGGAAGCCCAGGAGGTAGCTGAGGAGGAGCAGCAGGGAGATGAGGCAGGAGGTGAGGGACACGTACATCACCCATCCCTGCAGCAGCGGGAGGGACACGGAGGTAGCGGCGACGAGGATCCACACCCAGGTCCCGCAGAGCTGCCGGGGACAAACAGGCGCCTCGGGTGAGCACGGGAGGAGGGAAAATTCCTTCCCTCCAAGTCCCTCCTGGGCTGGCCCCAGCAGCCAGCGGAAGCCCTGCATCCTTCCCAGAGCATCCCGGCACCACAGTTTCCTTGAACACTCATGGGAAGTGAGTGTTCCTACCACAGGGAGAGGTTTGCTGCTGCCTTCCACACAAGGAAGTGTCTCACCCTGAGGCATTCGGTGCTTGAGCAGAAAATTGGGCTTTTATCTGGGAAAGGTGAACGGCCACAGCTTCACCTGGCCCTGCCCCGCTCGTTAATTCCCAGGGCTTGAAATCCAGCCCGAGGAGGCCTCCTCACAGCTCCCAGCACCACCCCCGAGCCAGTAGCTCGCTCTGGACCCACCCAAAAGGTTTACTGTGCACAAACAGCACCAGGGGTTTGTGGGGATGAGCCCGTGCTGCCCTGTGCCATCCCAGCTCCGGTGGGTGAAGCCTGGAATTGCTGCCCAGGGGAGCTGAGCCCACTGGCACAGCAGGGATTGTGCCTGTGGAGCAGCAGGGTGTGAGTCTCCAGCCCAGTGTCAAAGTACACCAGCTATATTATTGCAGCCAGTCACACTGGGTGCCCTCTGGACCCACGAGCACTTGAAAGAATCGTGGAATGTCACACATCAGAAGACGCCCAATTGCCTTCAACCCCTGGGAAGACTCGATACGGGATAGACACAGACAGACTTGATACAGAGAGCGAAATTCCCTTGGTTTTCAAGCAGTTTCTAGGTGCTAACAAGAGCTGCTTGTGCCCTGAGGAGCCAGCAGCTCTTCAGCCTCTCCCAGCCCTACGGCAGCCGGTGACCCTGGGATGGAGCTGGAGTGTACCTCGTCCTCAAGCCGTTCCAAAAAACCCCAGCACAAAGATGCACCTTTGTGCATCCAGCCCAGGCTCAAAGACAAGGTGTTACTTCCCACGACCGCTGTCTCCGGGATCATTTGGGGGCTGCTCCCGGGATTTTAGCCACGAGCCGGGTGCCGTAACGCAGCGGAGCTCGGGATACTCACGATCTCGGGCAGGATGAAGGCGTAGGGGATGGTTTTGAAGACGGCGGGTCCGGAGGGCAGGACGGGCTGCGTGGAGGCCGTGGAGGGACCCACCGAGGCCATGTCTCCTCAGCTGACACCGGGATCACTCGGCTCACACTCGCCTGCACCGGGTTTTAAGGGACACACCCGCGGGACGTAATCACAGGAACCAGCCCAGGCTGGCACCGCGCCGGCCCGGGAGCCCTCCCGGGAGCCCTCGGCACCCGCCCGGCTCCACACACCCCTCTGCCAGGGCTGGGAGGGCAGCGGGACCCCGGCCCTGCCACGCCGTCAGTTCAAGGTCGTTGCCCAGAGGGGAGAGGAGAAAACTTCCTACGTACCGGGGGGCAGAAATGTTTCCTGCAAACAGTCGCTGTCCTTGGCACGCTTCCAAGCCTGAAATATTTTCCCTTCCAGTGTTGTTGCCTCCTCCCCTTTCTGTTCAGGTTTCTGCTCCGTGTTCACGTCAGACCCCTCCACGCCCTGCAGGCACATCCAGCCTTCCAAAAGCGGCTGGCAGATGATTTTGACAGGCAGCGCTCTGGAACAAGCCGGGAGGGTTTGCCCCTGCGCTCCCAAGTGCCCTGAAAGGTTTGAGAGAGAGTTGCTGGGATTTCTGCATCCCGACGGATGCACTTTGGATTCGGGAGGCGCTCACTGCTTCATCCAGCAGACTCTGCCTCGCCCCAGAACTCCCTGATGGCTGATGGGATGAAAGGCTGAAGGTGACCCAGAGGGGACAGAATGACCTCACTGACTGGGGCAATGTGCTGCAGCAGGAGGACACTGTCCCAGTAAGATATCCCATCTGTGTTAGGAGAGCCAGGTGATGCCCCAGGAACTGCCAAGCCTTGTGTGACACAGACCAAAGATCAAATCCATGTTTCCTGTCTGAGCCCTTCCTAGGCCGGGGGAAGTGCTCTGTGGCATTCCTGGAGGCTCCAGGGCACAGGTGCTCCCGTGGGAGCTGCTCTGGGGCTCCGGGCGCTGTGCTCGGAAGATCTTGTTTTAAATCATTTCCCACCTGGCAAAACTGCCTGGCCTGGGCTTGAGTCCATGACTCAGTGCCCCATCAGGCACAGTGGCAATGTCCCCATCACGCTGCAGGAAGCATCCAGATGCTCCAGCACTAAAGGGAAACCGGATTAGTAACTTCCCCCTGGGAAGGGGCAGCACACGGAGCCTGTGGTGCTCAGAGAAAAGCAGCCGGCACAGGGGTCACCACGGAGGGAGCCATCCCAGGGGAGCCAGTGCCCTGAATTCCCACCAGCTGTTAGGTGTGTTAGGTCAGGCACATTCCTGTGAATGGCTCAGCCTTCTCCTGAGTAGGGCAGAAAGGCAGGCAAACAGTCTAAAAATGGAGGAACCTGCTGTCCACGGGTTGGGCAAGAGAAGATATTTTCCCCTCACCTGGCTGCCCTTGCTCAGCAGCATTCTTAAGGATCTCTGCTGTTCCCCTTCCCTGCTCCCGTCCTGCTGGGGGACAGGGACAAAGAGCCTTTTGTTCACCCTGATTAAAACAACACTGGACATTAATTGGAAGAAGCTGCAGGAGAGGAGGAAAGTGCTGAGAAGTGGAGCCTCAGCTTCAGCAAAATACAGCACTTGAAGTGGCTACAACAGGTTGTGACAGACAAGCAGAGCCTTGTCCAACGTTTGTCAAAAATTGAAGTTACACTGATAAAATAATTCCACTCTCTCCTCTCCTAAAATGTAAATGTGTTAAAACACTCATTACAATTCAATAGTACGGTCCCTTTGGTAAGAATTTATTTGTGTTGTTACCCTGTCCTCAGAGAGGCTGAATTGTTCTTTAATCCATTAATTCTCCAGGATTTTTCCTCCCTTCTCCTAAGAAATCATAAGCCAGCTCTGAGATGTCAAAGGCTTTGTGGGTGGTTTCTGAGGACAGCAGGTACTGCAGAGCGCCGTCGTTCTCCCGGCTCTTCCTCAAGAAGTCATGGATCGCCTTCCAGCGGGACATTTCTGCCTCCTCCTCAGCCCACTTGTAGCTGGGGAGGAACGTGGACTGGAGGAGAGGGAAGACGGAGTCGTGGTACACCAGGACAAACACAGACTTCAGGAATTCTTGATCTCTCTGCAGAGAAGAAAATACTTTAGTGCAAACTCGTGGTGCTGCCAAGCACTTCTCCAAATTATCGTGCACAGGGAGAAGACCCAACCAAAAAAAAAAGTAACCCCCAGTACCAGGATAACAACGGGAAGAGATTTGACCTTCCTAAACAAATATCCATTATCTTGGATAAGCCTAAAGAATACAAACCATAGATCAACAGATCTGCTCTCCAAAGCCCTGCCAGTGCTCCCACAAACCACGGGCACCGAGATTTGCTTGTGGGGTATTTATATCCCTTCCTAAAACTAGTGCCACATCCTCCCTGCCCTGGAAACCCAAACTCTGCTCATATTCCCGAGGCGGAGAGAAGGAGAACCGGGAGCTCTGATCCCGCGCTCCTCGGAGCAGGAGGTGAGGCTGCCCCTGGGTGCTCCGGGGTGAGAATTATGTGTTCCCCTGTGGAGGCCAGGCTGGAAAACCCAGAGGCTTAAGGATCAGCCTGGTGAATTATCAAACACACGGGAAGGATCCCAGGGAAAACTCCTGGAGCACACGGAGCGTTCCAGAGCCGCGAGGGCCGTGCCCGGCATCGAGCACTTCACGGCTCAGCAGGAGATGTGGCAGCTCAAGAGTCACAGAGCCATGAGGGGTGAGCACCCTGCAGGCAGCAGTCCTGCCCTGGGAGGGGCACATGCCAGTCAGGTAAAACTGGCTGGTTGTGGGATCCCGGGGAGTCACCGATTCCGTGAGCAGCTCACCTCTCCTTTTGGATGAATGGCCCTGAAAAAGCCACTCTGACTCAAGGGTTTGTGTAAACAGGGGGCAATCCTTGGGCACGGGGAATGAAACATCCCACTGCTGCTCCCAGGAAGTCCTGGATGGAGAGAGCCAGTGGTTTTCCCATGGAGTTCCCTGCAGCTGCTCTCTGGGCAGAGGACAGGAGGTAGGGAAGGGTGAGCCGGGTGACAGCCGGGTCAGTTCTCCAGCTGCCTCCTCACCAAAACGTGGGATTAGAACTGTCTGGGGTGGGGAGATGGGAGGAATCTGGAGGTCTTTTCCCAGGCAAAGAAGAGCTCAGAGGCTGGAGGAGGGCAGATGATTTTGTGGGCATACACAGCCTCTTTTGTATCCATGGAAGTAACAGGTTCCCCACCAACAACACCGAGACGAAAAGTTACAAGTTAATTTAATTATCCTCCTCCTCCTGGTTTACTGTTATAAATCAGAGTAAGAAGTGTTAAGAACTCTGTTTAACACGTCTCTATTTTTTAAGTAAGTGAGAGGAAAAGCTGAGCAGCAATAACACTGACAGGGAGCAGCTAGTTCAGACTCCACTGAATATATGGAAAGAAAACCCCATAGTTTGTTACCTTCTCAGTCCTCTTCAACGTTCTTTCTCTGTCTGCCCAAGCACTCTAAAAATGAAATGTAAAATCAGACCAAGGCTGTGGAGAACTTTATCTTTTCACAGGACAAGAACACCCTCCAGTTTTGTCTGGAAATCCCGACAGGGCAACGTACCCGAAGCGCATCCATCAGGTCTGGCTGATCCACGAGCTGAGGGAAAGTTGCTAAAACAGGATTACAGATTAAGTCTGAAACAGAAAACAAACACATTCACAAGGCTAAGTACAGAGCACATCCAGGTACTCAGCACATCCCCTCCTCTCGGATTATTCCAATCCTGAGGGCAGGGAAGGCAGGAGAGCTCCCTAACAACTGAGTTCTCTGACTGTAGCCAGCTCTCAGTGGCTGGGAGACATTTATACCAGGAGAGCAGACACACAAAAACCAGCTCCTGGTTTACTGGGAGCACCAGCAAAGCATATATTCCTTTTAAATATTCCTCATTGACCTGCCTGAGGGGTTTTCCCTCATTCCTGCACCTGCCTTTTGTTACACACAGCTGCAGCTGTGCTGCTTGGTTGGGATGTTATGGATAAACACACTTGGGTTCTACCTCAACCTGGTGTGTCTTGTGTGGCATTTTAAGAGAACCAGGTAGCAAGTGGCACAGAGAATTTACCAAATGGGGTAAATCCCGCTGCACAGGGGTCCTGGTGCTTTTTGGGCTGGCCCCCATGAGAAAGTGCTCTGCTCCTGTCCTTATTTTCATTAATGAGGTTGTGGGTAAGATTACAAGTGACAGAGGGCAGAATTTTGGTTGAAGTCTTTCCTTTCTCTTGTGAGTTCAAATGTTTAATATACACTGTTGTTTCTTCCTCTTGAAAGCTGATGGAAAGTTTAGTAAACACGCAGCTTTTACTAAACCAAAACATTTAAAGGCTGCAGGCCAGAACTGATGCCTCCTGTGAGACAGAACAGGCATTTTAAACTGCCTGTTTCTGAAGTGATGGGTGATTTTGTAATAACAGAAATCTTCCTTAGTGCCACACTGCCAGAAGAACTTCTGAAACACCTCTCAATCATCTCAAATGAGTTCTGGATCCAAAGGGGTGCAATTTAATCCCAGGAGAGCCTGACCTGCTGTGCCAAGTTATGAAGATCAAATCAGGTGAGTGTGGCAGTTCTCACCTGGTCTTTAAAACTAAGCACTTCAGTTTCTCTCTGTGAGTTTATTAATTAAAGCATTAATTAATTAAAGGGTCTGGCTTTCACCTACTGAAATCAGTATGGGCAGGATGTATATTAAAGCTGAAGAAAATCAGGAAGGGAGTTAAGCACCTCTGACAGATGAACCTGTGATTCAGGTGCTTAAGTATGATAAAGATTCTGAGTTAAAAATGTCAGCAACTGCACAAGGAAATTTATTTGCATAGGAACAGATGATTCATAATTCAGTCTGGAGAAGAGAAAACACAAGAAAATCACTTTCAGTACCAATATATGTACTACCAACTGTAGTACAGTTAAGAAATGTAAATTTTCCATATTTCAAATGGATTTTAAAATGGGGAAGGCTACAAACTATTATTAATTTTGTTGAATAAGGTACAGAGTTGCAAAATCAGGGCAAGCCCCTGAGTGCTAAAACCAGAACTCTTCCACTTCTGTCTCTCCCTGCGTTAGTCAGTGAGTAAATAGTAATTAAAAAATAAAAATAAAGAGGGTGATTTACCTCAGTGACAAAAACACCTCAAGAGAGATGAACAGAGAGGGTGATTCTCTGGAAGAACCTGAGCTTCCTTTGGTTCTCACCTGTGCTTTGCACGCTCGTCCTGTCCCTCAGGAGGGCGTCTCCGAGGATTTGCCGATAAAACGCCAAGAGAGGGACGTGGCTCGTGCTCCCAATTAACGTTTCTGGCAGAAAACTGTTGGGCAAATAAAGAACAGCAGCTGAGACTTTACTGAAAACTGCTCCTGCAGAGCATCATCCACCAAAACCTGAGGGAAAGGACAGCTCCATGGAGGTTGTTTATTCATGGCACCTCCATGAATCCATCACCGCTTCCCTGATACAGCTCCAAGGGCCCAACTCCTGCTGTTGCAGTTTTCCATCTTATCCAAACTTAAAGACCTTATTTCCAACAAAATAACCCCAACATCAAACAGACATGGAGTGCAACATGCAGATGACACAACCCTCGGGTTTTTCCATAGGGTTTTCCATGGGAGGGGAACACTGATCTCTGGGACCATCCCAGGCTACCTGGAATTCTTTCTCATTTTGTACTTACTTCAGGATGTCTTTTGTACTTACTTCAGGACCTCTCTGGCCTGCACACTCGGTGCCCTCAGCTTCACCAGCAGCACAGGCTGTTTCCTGAGTGCCATGAACTGATGGAAAACCCCAGCACCTGCTGCAGGAACAAACCCCCCCGGGATGGAATCAGCCAGGTGGGAAGAACGGCCGGAATTACATCCCAAAAAACCTCATGGGAACTCTTTGCCACCCAGCACTCCACAGCCAAGGGAAGTGCAGGTAAAGGAATCATGAAATTATATGCAAAATGAGAACACACCAGCCCAAAGCAGGCTGTTGTAGAAGAGGCACAGCATCTGCCACGGCGTTTTATTTAAATCACATTTAGGAGAAACCACACACCTCTTCTTGATATTGAAGGGTCCACCTCGACACCTCTCTCGTAGGGAGTTCCACCACTCAGCAGCAGCTCGTGCATCCTGTCAGAAAAGAGCAGCACAGTCAAAATGAAAACATTTAAGGGCATGTGAGAACAGCACAACCACTTTCTGAGAAAGGAAAAACCCGCTCTCTCAAAACCTGACACATCCCTCCACGTCATAACCAGTGTTTTGGATGCAGTGACTGCACCCAACTCAGCAGCCAAACCCCAGGTGATAAATTTGAAACCTGTGTTATACTGGGAAGTGAATTATCTGGGGAACTTCTTGTATTGGGAAGTTAATTATTTTTAAAGCAACCAGCAGCATTGATTCTTTTCCACAGCTCCAATGTTTTTCTTGTATGAAATTTAGCAATTGTTTCACTGAAATGTTTCTTGAGGAGTCATCACTGCAATGTTTTAGACCTTCCATATGTGAAATTCCTTAAAGAATAACGTAATCTCAGTTCTCTCGAAGCAGGCATGAAATTTAATGTGTAGATACCACATTTAACTTAATGACATAGTAAAACAAAATCAGAAATGGGATTTAGAAGAGATTTAGAGACTTAGAGAACAGTGGGTATTTTTTTTTGCCCTGTAATTCAGATAAATTCAGAATATATATATATCTACCTACCAATATTTGCTAAAAAAACAAGTCTTGCAAGCCTAAGCTATTTGTAAATGGACAGAAAGCTTTTCTACACTTAACAAAATAGGAAGTTGTACACTTTATTATTCTTTTAGATCAGTGGGCCCAGAAACTAATCATAAATCAGCTGAAAAATACAAGTTTGTTCACACTCTCCAACTCTCATCTGATTGCAGGTCTTGGAAACCAGTCTCCTAATTTTTACCTGGGAAAGGGATAAGCAGCAAAGTGCACCCACAAAGAAGAGGCAGAACCCCAGAGGACTGGTGTGGATGAGCCCTGCCCCAGCAGTGTGTAAGAATGGGAGGTGAATTTTACTCACAGTGTAAAACAGGTGTATGGACACAGGGATGTGAGTACAGACAGAGCAGGAAAACGTGTCAAACTCACTTGGAAGGGACAGGAATCCCATTGGAAGTGAAAAGCTTCAGGAATGCCCAGCCACAGCTCAGCTCTCCCCTTACACCTGTTGACTAGAAAAGAAGAGAAGCATCAGTGCTTTCAGCAGTTAATTATAATCACCCCATCAAAATCGTTGTGGTGACCCCCCCTTTTCCTCTTTCACCCCTGTGTGTTGAAAATCACAACCTGCCTTCCCTCAGGGCAGTTTTTCTGGCCTTTGCCATCTCTTGTGCTAGAACCTGTTGTACTTCTTAGCAGCACATCCCAGATGGGCAGGCTGTATCTGGGCAAACTGGAGTTAGAAACCACTGTTCGTTCATGCTGTTGGAACAGTTAAAATTTTAGTTTCCAAACTGTACATCAGCCTGAAACAAATCACAGAGAGGGAAAACCTGCAGGAGCGAAGAGAGAACTGGTGTTTGGAACAAGTTATTTCAGTGTCACTACAGGTCTGCTCATGGCCATTAGTCAGAAAGCTTTTATTCTCTAGTTAGGGGTATTGTCTGCCCATAGAATCCCTCTATAAACCTGCACTTGGAGGGGTTTATGCTGCACCTTCCCACACTCACATTGCACGTGTAAGCGATGCCGAGCTCAAATAATATCCCAATGTCTGATGACAGGGAGTTGGACCTGACAAAGCAGTCACCATCCAGCAAGCTGGGTAAGAGGCCCATCACCTGAGAGAGAGAGGGAGGGGAAACAAAGAAGTTAATGTGACTGTTTGAAACAAATCTTTATTTTTAAAGGCCACCAGGCACATCCCTCACTCACACAAGACCTCAGACCCAATCCCACTGCAGATAAAAATGAGAAGAGAACCAGTTTCAGTCTAAACCTTATTGTTTTTCTTTCCATGGGGCACAGCTGTGCCACCAAAGAACTCTTTAGAGACAAGCAAGAAGCTTGAATAACTAGTTATTCAGTAGCTGTGTCACCTACCCTTGGAGAAAAGGTCCATGTCTGAGGATTTTTAGGCAGCCACGTGGCCCTCACCGTGTGGATGTTACTCAGCACCTAAACATGACAGTGGGGGGGGAAAAAGCTAAGGCAGGTTTTTCTGGAAAGCTCTGCTGCTGAAAGAAAGTGCAGATCATCCCAGATTAATCTAACAATGCACACAGCAAAGACAACTGGAAGAAAACTGCTGGATGTGGGTATAAAAAGCTGCTCTGTGCATACACAAAAAGGGGCAGAGGATTGAGGGCAGGGGGGAATCTGACCCTGACCTGGAAGAGAGATCAGCCCAAATCCACTCATCCCCACAGACACCAAAGAGCCACGAGGCACAAGGGCAGGTGGGGGGACCGAAATTGTGGGCTCAGAGAAACTCCTGGCCCCTCCCAGGGCAGCCCAGCCCAGCCCTCAGCCCCAGGGGCAGGGTGTGACTGTCACTGTGTGAGTCAGGAGCAGCTCCCCGGGGCACCTCACGCTGCTCCAGGGGAGGAGAGGGCAGGGCAAGGGCACTTTGGGACTGCCCCTGACTTACTGTGGGATGGAAGCAGCAATGGGGAGAAACCAAGGCAGAAAAAGGGAGGGCTGGAGGTGCTCTGTGGAGTAACAAGGGTGGGACACGGGGTAAGTGTGCAGGTTTGGCCACGCCTGGTGCCTGTCAGTGCGGTCTGTCCTGTTTGCTCATTAAACCCATTCAGAACTGTTTTTTCTGGGTGGATAGGCTCAAACCAGAGCAATCTGAGCGTGAGTTGTGTGAGTGAGACAACTGCAGGAGCTGGCTACCAGAGAACCCAAAGATCCTGGGAGCTCCACAGCCCCTCAGGTCACCCCTGGCACGGAAAGAGCCGTCGCTCACCCGCGTGCCGTCGAACAGGCAGAGCCGGACGTGCCTGCTCAGCACCTGCACGCTGGCTCCTGGCACAGGGATCATCTTGCAGCTGCACAAACTCACCACCTGGGACACTCTGGTGGCTCTGGGATGGATCTGGAATACAGCACAAGGAAGGGTTAAACCTCCAGGGCCCCCCTGCCCGTGGTTTTGTGTTTCGTGACTGAGTGAGGTGCGATTCTCCCAACCACAAACCCTGCGCAGTGTGAGCAGCAAAACTCCTTCATGAGCCTTTAGTTCTCCCCTGAGGAGATTGCTACAGGTGTTTTAGTGGGACA